CCCCAGTAACTTATTTCATGAGATGTTTGGAGTTCAGGTCAGCAAGGGAACGGGGGATAGGGCAGGAATAACTTTCATTTTTGTCATGAATGTGTGGAGCCCTCCGATTTATCTATGTGAAGCTTGAGTCATGCTTCTATGAACCAGAAATGAGTCGAGCTGATGTGGACAAGTGAAGTGTTCTGTGTTCCGGACGCGCTGAGAAAACCAGAAGAAACCACACCGGAACGGATACCGATCATGTCCGCCGATATGGCAGCCGAACAATCACAACCCATCCAGCATCACCGAAAACCAACCAACTCGAGCTATGCACATGTCGACATCCTCCAAACCCTTCCCATCGACAGCTCGCCCTCGTGTTTGGAATGGTCAAACGACGGCCAAGCTTTTGCTATCACCAAGGCAAACATCTACCTGTTGGTACGCCTCGTAGGGGAATTAAACCACCAATTTGAGGGACTGACACCTCTTGTCTTTTTTCCTGCAGACCCCCATTCTCGGATACGTGGTCCCCCCTGAGGATCCGAACACACACAAACACTCGCGACCCACGGAGAATGGAACTAACTTGCCAGACCAGCCATCCACGCCTTCAAGATCTAATCCATCATCAGGAACCCATGAAACCACAGCTCCAACATCCTATCGGCCTAATATACCCTTCTTCATGACCAACATCGAGATCAATAAACAACTGGGTGTCAATTGGTCTGCTCATTCTAATGGTAATCTCTAAGTATTTTTTTTTCCCTCCACTTAGTCTCACACCAAACTCCTCCCTGACTCTTCCTTTTTTCTTTTTTCGTCGCGTTTGTCGCACAGATACATCCACCATCACACCCCCCAACGACGATAGGTTCTGGCGAACTGCCAGCTGGTCTCCTAGTGGATTATCAACCGTAGGATCGTCAGCATGTTTAAAAGATTTATTTCATAGCTCCTTCCGCACCAAATTATACGATTATATTTTCGAATCATCAGTTCCTAAAAAAGATTGAAACCTTTGATCGTGTCCCTCAGGTGCTTGCTTGCCGCATTGTCTACCACTTGCGACGTCTTTGTGTTTTCGCCCAATCGGAATTTCCAAAACGGATTATGGGAAGTTGTATGTTAAGGTCTTCCTTGTTATCACATATTTTTATTCCCCGATCCGAACCCTTCGGTCAAGAAGTTTCATTCAGAAAGCTCAGTGAACGAATTTTGACCAATTTTTCATCATTTTTGGGATCTCTCTTTGCCCACCCGACATGGCTACCAACCCCTAATGAACCGCTTGAACTATTTGGATTGGTTTAATACCTTCATCCAAAAAAAAAATCAGAAAGAAAGTTTGAACCTTTCGGAAGAATTGTTCAAGTTTTTTTACGATTTCTATCCGGCTATTGTAGGGCATCAAGAAGATTCAGGGGAGCCACCGGACACCAGTCCAGAAACTGATTGGGATACATCGGAGGAGGCGAAAGAGAGACGAAGTCGATTCACTTCGTGTGTCCTCAGGACTCAAGCCACTTGTTGAGAATCTTCCCCTCTCTTGGCTGGAAACAAAGGGATTTATTCTGACGTGCGTTTTAGCAGGTCTCGCCTGGTCGCCCTCCTTTTCTCATCCAAACCTTGAAGCATTCTGTTCAAGGCAGGTCGATAGTATGCATGACGTCGATTTTTCATTGCTTGCCGTGGGCCACAGGAGAGGAGATATATCCCTTTGGAGGTGTGCTTTTTCTAACGTTTGAAAAGGTGAGCAGGATCACAGGCTCACGCCCATATTTCTAACCGCAATCATGATCCCTTTCCTAGGCACACATCTAACGGAGAAATGGAACTTCAATCCTTGAACCCCATCTGCCCCAACGGCCACACTATCAACTTACTATCATGGTCTCATTGGAAATTGAGCGCTCGGCGAAGAGTTGGTAAACTTTAGAGTCCTTCCTCCTCCACCTCTTTTCATGTGTTGTTGTCCAGCGGGGGCAATCGCTGACATCTCTCATCCCATCCGTATTGTCATTTTTTTTCGCAAACCTCAGATGATCCATCGACACATCACTACGAATTAACGGCATATCTCGCAGCAGCCAATTCCAAAGGAGTTGTCTTTCTTTTGCAAGTTTGTCGGCCGTTTGTCAGACCCACCACCCCAGTCTCCCCCATCCAGTGGATAGAGATTCAAACCATAGGGATATACCAGGACCCGCTGAACCAGTCGTCTATTACGTCCTTGAAATGGTTACCAGAGTATGGCAATACTGTGCGCTACTACCGATCAAACACGTCGACTCTTGCTATCACTCCCGCGGACTAATATCCGCCCACCTCTCTTCAACATTGCTCCTTTCCACACATCGCAGCCGCCAAGACTAGTTTTCAGCCGGTTAGGGGAGATCGTTCTGGTTCCAGGGCCGTCACCCATTCCCACTGATAGTGAACAGCTTGTTGATTGTCAGCTAGGATCATCTCTCAATAGTGCTCAGGTCATCCAGTTGCCCGTCTTGCAACCCCACGACGACCGACTGTGCTGGGCGGACTGCAATAGCTGGGCAACATGTTCAGGTAAAACCCGAATTTCCCCGTCTTTCATTCCCTCCCTCTTGATAAAACAGTCGTGCCACTTGTGATTGTGATTGTTTTGTCATGAGATTGCTTATGCTGACTGCGACCCTCATGATGCGTGACAGGCATCGGTATCATCCCAACACGGTTCCTAGGAAGCACACAAATCTTAGTGATGCTGTCGAACGGGTTGATATTTGTTTTGAAGGAGTCATTACACATCGACCCATCTTCAACGCCTTCGTCTTCGGCAAACTCACTCGAGCTTGACTTGGCGCATTCTGTCCAGCTTTCTCTCGACTTTCGTGCCAAGTTTCGCTCCATTGGGTTCTCCGCACACCCTCCGCCGAACAACATTCCCATTACTCAGCAAAATGTCATGAGCGTCTTTGGGTCCTGTGTTCAAAGTAGTCTCCAGCATCTCCTAAGTGACTCTCTGCAGCTCGACTCAATCGATCGGATTGCTCTGTCGAGTGGATGCATTATGAGTTGGTTGTATGAGTAAGCTTTTTTTCCTTCTGGCCACCTTTACAAAAGGTGTTCCCTACTTTCTTCCGTCGTATTACTGACTTGAAAGGATCCCCTTGGCCTCGTTAGGATCGATGCCCCCAATAAGTTCCGCTACAAACCAGAGAACTATCAGATCGTTCAATTCTGTCTAGCAGATTGCAATCCGGTCGGATCGACTCAGCAACCGGACAACCCCGAACCGAGAACGCAGGTCCTAGAAATGCTCGATGTCCATACTTGTGCGATCTTACCCGCCATGTTCACCAAATCGGTCTCATGTTCGTCACAACGTCCCGCACGTTCTAGTCACGCTGATTATTTGTCAATGAGTTAAAAGCCCATCTTGGATCTGTTTCCTTTGACAGCCATTTTAGTATCGCCTACCATGAAACTGCTGAATATTTTCAATATCCTTCATTCGATTTTCTCTGATCCCGTGCTCCGGGAGGCTCCTTTCTTCGACTTACGCTGCTCCGGTATCTCGAAGCTGATTGATTTGCTTCAAGTGGGAAGCCTCGAAGAAAACTTGAACCAACCTTCTTATTCCGCGTTATCACAACACTGTCACGATGAGGGATCCGGCCGAAATAGTGTTGGGAGTGACTCTTCTTTGGCTTTGAAAAGTCAATTAATTCGCCTGATTTTCTTTAATGACAAGATCGATAATCTTCGATTGAAACTCAACCTGTGTAACTTTTTACTGGTAAAAATTACTTTGCTCCTCTTTTAACACGTCATCGTCAATTGCTTGTTCTTGACATCTTCTTGGCCTCTCGGATTGTTAAGAATCGGATCGATCAAGTTCAGTTTGGCACGTTGAGGGCTCGACTCATCAAGCTCAAGGTCGCTCTTTCCCGAATCATTCACAGTGTGGTGCTAAAAACTATCGCCCAGCTCTTCCCGAGTCATCAATACGAACCTTCAGGTAAGAAGCAGCCGGGGCAACATGATTAAATGTTTCCACAAATGCAGAAGAAAGATCGGTGTTTTGAAAGAGGTGACTGATGTGTATCCTACCTTTATCGGGACTGCAAATCATACTTTATTAGCGGATGAAAGACAAGTATTCAACCGATACCAATACGCGACCAGAGCAATTGATCGGTTCCCGGAGCCAACGCTCGAGCAAATTCTAGAGCCCGACCAGGTCGACCATAAATTGCTGGACCAGGACCGACTGTCGACGGCGCCTGATTTATCCCTCGGTGATGGAACAACTGCGATTCCAATAGGAGATGACCCGGAACAATGTCCTGCTTGTCTCCAATCCGTCTGTTTTGATAGCCTCCGATTCGCAATTTGTCGCGTGGGTCATGTCTGGGGTATGTTCTCTCATTCGTGCCATGAATTCCCAGTTGACGCAACCGGACTGACCATCAGGCGTTTCTTCCTTTTTTATTTTTTTTGTTTCTTTCTTTTTGTAAGATCGATGTTCGGTGACATTTGCGATCTTATCGACGATCAAAGTGAGGATCTGTACAGGGTGTGGACGGAAATCGATGATGCGAGGAGGTGTTGGGGGGGAGGATGCGCGGGGTAGTCGAGCCAGCCCCCATTATGAGGCTGATCGTCCTCCTTTGGTTCCCGGCATGCAACAGGCCCCAGATATGGTTCCCCTTCCACGGAAGCCTACCTCATGGGTTCAGGTCTTGTTGGAGTCTTCCGTCTGCTGTTGGCATTGCGGCGGCAGGTGGAGACTTTCCTCTTGACATCTCTCTCGCTCTTGCCACTTCCTTCACCCCCATTCTTTTATCTCGTGGTAGTAAGAATATCTGTTGTTGTCTTGACGATGTATGGTCAACAACGGCCAATGGCTGATTCGAACCCCATCCATCTCGTGTGTTCATCACATACTCGAGAGTTCATTCTTTCTGCCACAAAAACTGATCAGGGCCCTCACGGTTGTGTAAGATAGCAGCGCGGAAAGCGGTAAAAACGTATGCCCTCGGCCAGGATCGAACTGGCGATCTCCGGATGCCCCACCGTGAAGATGGTCATGTCGTTACCCAGGAAGTAGATATGAGACCGGCGCTCTAACCAGCTGAGCCACGAAGGCCAATGGTGCGAAATTAGGTTACTTTTTTGTTCATGCCCTTTGCGTGATTATATGTCCACGCGATAATTCACGGTCCTTCACTTGCAGGAATTGGGAGCACTGGACTGGTGTACCATCATGATGACTAGGAACTTCTTGTTCCTATCAACACAAGCTTCCCTTAGCTTCAAAATGGAAAAGTTGGTACATGGTGCTGGGATAATAGAGTCTATGTTCAGAGATGTCCATGGTGAATTTTTGTTGCACCATATTTGCTTCCTTTCTGAGTCTCCTCCAGAATGGGATCAGAAGAGATGTGCACAATACTGCACAGGTAATAAAACCTTTCTAATTTTCTTCCTATTTCTAAGCTGCATTATTTGGTGAAATATATGTAGATCTCAGGTTATGTCAGCCTTGATGCTACTAACCTAGTGTTTACAGGCACTGGGTTATGCTATGAGTGATTGATAAATAGTTTTGAAAAGTTGAGGTTAGTATCTGGGTTAATTAACAGGGTAAGTAATTAGATCCAGTATTTAAATCTTGAAAAGCTCTTCTCAACCTTTAACAGGGAGGGAAATCCAGATTTCACATTGGAT